TAAAGATGTTGAATAGCACTGGGCTCAGGCCAGAACCCTGTGGCACCCTACAATTCACTTCTCTCTAGATTGAAGAAGAGCCATTGTTGGTACTCTTTGGTTTGCTCAATCAAAGAGCTAAAAATACACCTTTCAATTTAATATGTTTTAAAAGGGTTTTTTAAAAAAAGTTTCTATACTCTGTATAAGCCACTTTGAATGAGTCCTCATTCAGGGAATGTTAGATAAATATTTATTCAATAAATAATTTTTAAAATCCAGGCCAAGGAAGGGGAGGCTGGTTGTTCAGAAGATGACATGGCACCTGACTATGTTGCATATTTATTTATTTATTGGTTTATTTTGGTCTTTACAGCAGAACAGCCTGAGGTATTATTTGTGATTTGGTCGAGAGCAGGAAGAGCAGGCTCCACCCGCACTCACAACAGATTGCCTTCCCAGCATTTATTACACAGCAAAAGGCCTCAAATTATATATCAAATGCTGCTGGGAGCTATTAACTGGACCAGGAGATTGCAATCCTGTGTCTTCCTTGCAGCAAAGCAGAAAGTGCAACAATAACTAGAGAAACAATGTGCTCTATCACACTCCACAATTATAGTACTTTAACTTCCATGGCTGAATCCTATGGAATACTAGGATTTGTAGTTTGGTCAGACAGACAGTGTGGTGTAGTGGTTTGAATGTTGGAGTACAGCTTTGGAGATCAGGGTTCGACTCCTCTTTCAGCCATGGAAATCCACTGGGTTACCTTGGGCAGGTCACATTCTCTCAGCCTCAGAAGGCAGTGGCAAACCCCCTCTGAACAAATCTTGACAAGGAAACCCCATGATAGGTTTGCCTTGGGGTCACCATAAGTCAGAATTGACTTGAAGGCACACAACAACAACGAAGGCACTAGGAGAGCTTTCTGGCTGAGAATGCTAAATGCCCCTGAGAATGCTAAATGCCCCTTCCTAAACCCCCCAATTCCATATGATGCTGCCAGGATGGCTAAAATGGATCATGGTGTTACAACTGTGGAGTGTGAATGGGCCCAAGAAACAACAGAACAACACTGGCACACATTGACATTCCCTGCATCCATCAAGATGCCATTCCATTAATAATAATAATAATAATAATAATAATAATAATAATAATAATAATAATAATAATATTTATTTATATCCCGCTTATATGATAAATCAATCTAAGTGATTTACAATTAAAACAGTACAAAATGTCCCCGTACCAACCCTCCCCCCCTTAACAGCTTTTATATAAGACATTTCAATATTAGCATGCATCAGCCAACATGCAACAATTGCACAACCGCTATGATAACCTTGCTAAAATCAATTCATTCAATGTCTCCCATGAGTCAGGTAGGGAAGAAGAGCCCACCTAAGTATCCTCCTGCCTGCAGCCAGTATGGTTGAGTTGATAGGAAAGCTACAGCTGAGAACAGCAACCATCAACCCCGTGCCCACCTTCACCTTAGAGGAGAGCATGCCAAACACAGCCAACTACAGAATAACAAAAAGGGACAAGCGTAGCCAGCCTCCATCCCTCTTGCTCACAGAAAAGCCAGGGGAGAAACAGGAAAGAAAGACTTCTCTTGCCCCACCATTAGCAAGATCCACAACCGGCATCTAGTATGAGGCTTGCATGAGGAACTCACAAGCACTGGGTTCCCAAGGATTTGAAAGAATAGCTGCTGCTGGCTTTTAGGCCTGCAGAACAATAAATCTACATGTTTTATCCCTGACTGAATGAACTTGCCAAGGCATTGAACTGTATTCCCAAAATAGGCTTAATACCTGGATAGCTCCTTTAAAGTTTGGACTGAAACCCAGAGCAGATTTAGAGCAGAGCTGCTAGGTTCATTGACTTATATGCTGGTCCAAAACCAATGATCCCACACAGATAGTGATCAAAATATGTCACAAATTGTATTTGTAGTCTGCATGCTCCTGTATGAAACAGACATGCTTCCTTCTCTTTGTACCATTTGTTTGGTGCTTTTGATATAGCCTGTGGAACCTGACTCTCCCTCTAATTTCTCCAAGTTTACTTGCCTTACAACAATTAAGAGAAATATGAAGACAGCTACAAATAGTTCTCAGAACAATCAAAGCAGTACTTCAGGAGTGTCAATAAAGCTTTTTGGAAAAGCCATGCTTTAGCTGCTGCCTGACTGGCAAACAACAGCCTGCCTTGCACCTATCTTTGAGAAGGGCTTTCCATACCCAAGTAAAATGGCCATTTCACATTTTCATTGTTGTTGTTCTTTTGTGTTTTCAAGTTGACCCCAACTTATGGTGTCAGAAGGCTTTCCTAGAGTTTTCTTAGCAAAATGGATTCAGGGGAGGTTTGCTATTGAATTCCTCTGAGAGTGTGTGAATTGCCCAAGATAATCAAGGAGTTTCCTTGCCTGAACATAGATTCAAACCCTAGTCTCTCACAATCCTAGTCCAATATCATGCTGGCCCTACATTTCACATTCCCAGTTATCAAATTTAGGTGGTAGGAAACAATCAACAGGGCCTTTGGTTATTGAATGGAGTACCTGGAAGGAGAAAGTTGTTAATGAATCTTGAATTTCAGAGCCCTTGGGCTAACTCCTGCACTTAGAACTGCAATAAATTCATATCCAGTGCAGTTGAAATGTCACTGGAATGATGTGATCACCAACACTTTCAAACAACCACCTGGCAGCTGCATTCTTAACCTCTCAAACTTCCAAATGCTTCTCAAAAGCATGCAGA